TGTTGTTTTTTTTTTTTTTTTTTTTTTGTAAAAAAAAAGAGTACACAATTATTGACACTTTTACAGATAAATATCTTCGGATGACAAATGTCCCGAGCAGTTTCTAGGCTATTATACTCGTTTTCCCGACCTCATGTTATTCCCCGGGACGCGAAGTGCTTTGCGACTCCTGGCGGAATCCACGTCGCGTTCTACCGTGACGTCCTTTTTGCGGAGTGACGTAAGTGCTGCTTCCGTTTCTCGTTTATCTCGGAATAACCGCGCGAGTGTAACCGTAGCGCAAATCTTTCTCTCCTTGCCTTGCGCGCGCGCTCAACCCTCTCTCCCTCGGCCCTTCTCACCGCCCTCCCCATCCGTGTCGACTCTCATCCGGTTTCTCCAGCATCCAGTTTTATAAGCTTTATGACCGATGCGGGAGAGACCGCTGCCATTCGAGCTTTACGAGGCTTGTTTAAGGGTCCCGGCGAGCTCTCCCCGTTTTCTCTACACTCTTTCTCGCTATCTCGAATATTCGCTCGCAACGTACATATACGTGGTGGTAAGATATACGCGCGGTCGAATCATGTCGCGCGCAATTTCATCCCGACAATCGGTGTCTCTTATTCTCTGAATGCCGTTTGAGAATTCGACGTGCCTTTCCTGTCGAGAGATATCTCTCTAGACACGCCAAGCGCGTCTTGTGAGCTTTCTCTCTCTCTTTCGCTCTCTCACTCTCTCTCTCTCTCTCTCTCTCATTCTCTTGCTCGATCGTCGCTCATGCCGGCCGGTTTTCTACAACTCGAAACCGCGTTCTAACGTGCAACGTAATTTCCTACGTGCCTAGCGCGCTTCTGCCGCCGGAAACGCGCCGGGCGTCGACAATGTGGGCGTTCCGACGCTACAACACCCGGAGTGTCGAGACGCGCTGCTGCGCTATCTCAGCAGAATTGTCATCGCTCGTAATCGCGGAATTGAAAATACGAAAAATGTATCGCGGGAAAAATACGTTTTTTTTTTGTTTTTTTTTTTTTCTTTTGAGACAATATTTGTCTCTTGCATTTCGTACAATCTTCTTCTGTCTTATGAGAAGAAATAACATGATTTAAAATAAGGGGCCGATACGAGCCAATATACAAGATATTTGTTCGTGTGTATGATTTTATTATAAAATAGACAATCCTTGAGTTGAATCTTCTTTAGTGAATAACTAAAATAGATAAAGTTGCACATACGCGCGCAAAATACATAAAATTAAATGGTTTATCTAATTGTCAAAAAATTAAAAAACTGATGAAAATTATTGTGAAATCGAAATGAATAAAATTCGAAATCACTACAAAAAAGAGTTTGCTATTATAGCCGGAAAAAAAATTTGTTGAGTCTATTAAATTTTGATTTTATCGACAGAACAATATGTTGACGCAACAACAATCTCAGTAGCAAATTTTGTTTTGCTGGTTAAGTGGTAACTTCTTGCTGCTCTAACAAATCTTTTTTTTACGTGCACCACACAATTTAATAACAGTCTTTAAATTCCCCTCGCGATACGAAAAATCGATCGCGAAACAGCACCGATGTGTCGCGCCGCGTTAATTCCGTTCGCGACGAAAGAAAACGGACGCGATACGTTATCGTTCCGGTGACGCTTATAAATATAGGGATTTTTTGTTAATAACGTCGAGATAATTCTATATCCACGGCGAATAAATCATTCGGCGATTTTGTCGCAATACATATTGCCGAGCGTTTGATTTGAAACATTTACCGCGTCAATCATCTTCGCGATAAGTGTCGCGCGAGATGTCGAACATTCGTGTGTCGTGTGTTATCTATTTTTGAAAGTTACAAGTTTAAAAAGAAACGTTACAAGTACCTACCCGCGCGCTTTGTTATTCGCACACTTTTCGGTTCTCGCGTTCGCGATAAACGATACAATGCGCGCGCGGTTTATGATCGGACGAGCGAGCCGGGAGCGGTGGTCAGAGTAGTAGGAATCGGTTGTTATTTCCCGTAAATAGGGAATCGAGTGGATTCGACTCGCGGATTAAAAGCGTATAGTGGCGCGCGATGACCCGGACCACTCGGATTCGTTCGCATCGACGGTCGTTCTGAATTTGCTTTCGAGTGGGATTTGCTCTCTCTCTCTCTCTCTCTCTCTCTCTGTCTCTCGGTGGAGTCGCGTGTTATACCGAATAATTTGAGCGTTCCGCATATAAATTAAACCGATAATGCAGCACGATTTTCGTGTTAGTTAGAAATCAAGTGGGAGAAAGAGAGAAGAGAGAGAGAAAGAGAGAGAGAAAGAGAGAGAGAGAGAGAGATACACGATACCGCGCTAAATGCAATATCCGATTTTGCAGGAGTGCTCTTGTTCCCAATTTCGGCGACACGAAGTGCCGCGATCGCGCGTTTTAATAAAGTAGAATTAATAATCCTTCGCGTTGACGCATCTTTGTGGTTGCGCCGAAGCACCGCTGGTAAATTCCAATTGTCGAAATGTCTATCTGTCTGTCTGAACAATTTGTTTTGAATAATTGTTAAAGCGAAACGCGCGCGCGCGTACGTTGTCTTCGAGGTTTTTGCAGATTTTATTCTCTCTCGCGCATCAATTGAAAAAACAAAAAAACTCTCTCCTCGATATGTGACCGTTGACGGATTTTTAATACCGTCGATTGCGGAAGAGTGTTGCGCGCCTCGATCCGTCTCCGCGCTTTTCAGCGCGAGACGTTTTTTTCGGTCGCGACGATCAGTTATCACATAACAGGTGATCAGTAGCGCGCATTTTCTCTCTCCCCCCCCGTCCCTCTCCCGAATAAGTTACCATCGATAAATTATATCGGTCGCAAAACGCGGCGTCGCGTCGCGCGATAATTCACGGCGCCGCTTACGCGCGGCGCGAAAGCGAAGGCGTGGCACGCCGGAAGTGAGACGAACGGTTTCACGCGCACACGAAGTAGCCGTAACCACCCGTAAACGCCCTTATCCGCGATGGCGAACGGAGAAATACGAGGGGGCGAGGGCGTGGAAGGGCGGAGGATGCTACGCGTTGAAACGGGGGCCGAAAGAAGAGGCAGCGAAACGAGATAGAGTAGCAGTTTGCTCCGGGACATACAATTCTCAGATGAAATACGTAGCTGAAGATCTGAGATAGATTGAGAAAAAGTACCAAAGAGGGAATAAAATAAAAAAAAATTAAAAAAAAAAAAAAAAAAAAAAAAAAGTACGTACAGCCGACGTGCCGTACGACAGAGATCCGGATAATGATTTCTTTTGCGAGAGGAGGAGGATAATAAATTTACTTAAAAACAGGATCCGTTTAATCAGTGCCTAGTGATAAATGAATGGAAACGATGAACCTTATTATATTCGGAATTAAATTACAATGCCGGGGGGAGTTTCTCGACGAGAAGTGGATGTACGAAGAGTGAGGGTTAACAACGGGAACGGTGGAAAGCGAGCGCGCCTCGACCAAATTCCGAGCTGCGAAACGAATGTACGAGCTGGCTCGGTAATTAAGAAGTAAGGTGGGCAGGTCGACCCGACAGATAAAACTCGCGCGCCTCGTGCAAACGTGCTCAAGCCGGTTGCAACCTCCCCCGCTCGCTCGCTCGCTCGCCCCCTTCCCTTTCCTCTCTCTCTCTCTCTCTCTCTCTCTCTCTCTTTCCCGAGTCTCGGGGGCGAGTTTTCTAAGCGAGATACCATGAGGTCGTGTCTTTCCCGAGCTTACAGCTCTTCACCGCCGGCTGCTATCTCGTTCCTTCTCACCTGCAGCTTCTGTTTTCTCTTCCCGTCCCGGTTTTTTTTTTTTTTTTTCGGACAGTCTTTTAGTTTCTTCGCCCCGTCGTGGCTTTCCGTCTCTCTTAATCCACGATGATATCGCTGATCCGCGAACGTGTCTCGAATTGTCGGTGCTTCGAAGGGGGATTATGTCTCTGTCCTCTTCCGCCGGAGACTATATCCGTCGCCAGCGGCGACGCGGAGGTAGAGGCGGAGACGTAAACTAGCTTGTCTTCGGGGCGAGAGACGCCGTCGTGATTTCTGTACATAGACGCAACCGTGAATTCAGATTACCTCGCTATTACAACTGGTGTTCAGACATTTGTTGATTATTGTATCGAGAGTTCCCGGGACGAGCAGCGCGAATACACATTGTTGTCTACGTTGATGTCCAAAACACCGAAGCTGCGCTTCGTCGAATTATCGTTCGGATATGGTAATTTTGCGCGAAGAGCGTAAAAGCGTGTGTTGATTCTTTTTTTTTTTTTTTTTTTCACTCACTTTAAATCCCCATCACGCAAAATATTAAGTACGTAATAGAGTTCGCGCGACAAGCTTCACATTAAAATAAAAAAAAAAATAAAAAATAAAAAAAAAATACTTGACGACGCGCGTCGACAAAGTTTGCGACGTGTTAACGCTTCTGCAAACGCGCCGAATAGACTCGAGCGCCGCCGTGGAGTGTGTTTGGGACAGTGTTGTTGTACATACTTCCAATTACGAGCACGCGCGAGTTTGAAGCCCCGTTGTGTTTTTCTATTTACTCGCGACTTACGAAAAGAACGGTAAGAACAAAAAAAAAAAAGAAACAGTGCAATCAAGCGTAATGTAATATACTCTCTCCGGCGTGCGTACGCACGCAGAAAAAGAGAAAGAGAGAGAGAGAGAGAGAGATGCGAGAGCCAACTGGACTTCGGTGTTTTTATGTGTTTATTTGCCATTTTGCTGCACACACAGCAAAAGAGTAAATTTGCATGGAAATTCTTCCTGACGTGCGCAAATCTACCAACCTATTTCACGCCAGACGAAAGATCAAAGCACTTGCCTCCAAAAATTAAATTATAATCAAAATATGAGAGAGACGGAGGACAAAAAAAAAAGACTGTCGCTCGCGTTCAATTCCCGAACAACAAATTATATTCATTTTTTTGTGAGGATTTTTTTATCAGAGAGAGGAAAAGAGAGAGAGGGAAAGATTACGCGCAAGCTTCTATCCTTAATCCTTTGATTCTATCGTTCATAAGGTTTCGCTTCGGACTAGAACAGAGAGATGCGCCGTTATCAACGCGACCCGCACAGGAAGACTGTCAACGTCGAAGTATTTTAAGTAGGAAATCGATTGGGTCAACTCTCACACGTGAAGAAAGACCTTTGCAAAACGCGCAAACGAGATTCCACGATATATGTGTATCGAACTCAATGTAAAGAGATTGTATCTTTTAACGCGGTATTAACCAAGTGCATGCTGATGGTATTTTCGGCGTGAGATTAAGAAAAGATGCGATTTAACATATTTTATTTTAATTTTCGCGCTTAATCCGCGTGTAACGAGTCTGGACCGACGTGCGGTGAGAGAGCAACCGCGACCGGAGAATTGAGAGCAAAGAGACTGACTGAAACCACGTGTTATATCTTGTGCAATTATCATGTCGGAATTTCTTTATATTTTAAATTGGATCAAAAGCGAAGTGTGCGAGTTTATTTCTCAAGGAAATTTTAAACGTGTTTAAAAAATGAAAAGTTTTTAAAATTTGAAAATTTTGAATTTTTGATCGTAAAATTTTTTCAATATTCATTTTCATGGAAAATTCCGAGAAAATCGTTGTTGAAAACTCGGTAATTTCAGACTTTTAACATCAGGTTCTTACGTGACTGATATTTTGACAGAAAAAAAGTAAAAGGATGAAAATTACACAGCTGTTAGAAAAAAATTTGTACTGGCAGATTAAAAACTTAAGAATCATTGTATCTAATAAAAATGAAAGGACCTTTCCCCACGCAACTGAAAGAGAAAATTTATTAAAATACTAAAAACACGATTGTGTAGGGTTGTAAAGAAAATGTGGCAACAGCAATCAGCGTTCATTATTTTAGTCGCATTCAAAAGACAATAGGAATATAGGTGGGTATCTAAAAACACACAAAATAAAAATTAAAAACTTTTTAATTTTATTCTTTAATTATTGATAAAATGATAATCGTAAAGTAGATATCATTTCCCTTTCCTCTCTTAATTAATCCAGTCTCAAATCTCCTTAAATCGGTAATATTCAATTTCCATTTTCAGCCTTCAAATAATACAAGCCGCGTAAAACATAGATACGATTTAACGAATAAAGTTTTCATTGTTACGAGCTCCAGTGAATCGGAAAAGAGGTAATGTGGAAACTGGATAATATTAAAAAAAATATCTTCATGTTTCATATTTCAATTTTTTTAAATAAGTTATTTCAAGTGTTTGTTGAATACACTTTTATCGAGTCGCGCGCAATGTAGAATCGCACGGAGCGATGAAGAGCGCGCGTAATTGAAGCAATATTTATTCTTCCCGTTCGCGGTTATACACTGGGGATGCATATTATTTCTGTGCCGCGGTCTATATTTTAATAAAGTGCATAAAATGAGACGAAGCGCGCTTTCCAGATGTCAAACAAATAAATGCACGCGTACGTTCGCAACATGTACCTCTACGACGGACTATGTGCTACTCTCTCTCCTCTTCGTATTCGTTACGCGCGCGCGCGCGCGCGAGGAGTTCTCCGTTCTCTTTTGCCGAGAAAAGATCCGCGCGAGAGAGGAACCCGCGCAAATGGAAATTGGCCGCATGACGGAGGCAGAAAGGAATATTTACTGCGCGAGCGTGGCGAGTCGTAACTTATGCAGCGGAGGTGGAAGAAAACATAAATAGACGGCTACGGATCGAAACGCGCGCGAGAATGATTCCCGTGCCGGTGTGAAAAATCGCGGAAGAAAAACAGGGCAAGATGGGGAGGGGGAAGGGGGAGAAAAAGCGGGAATAAAACTGCTCGAAACATTTATGGCGATGCGCGTAAAAATGACGAGATAAAATTTATCAACGAATAAAAATCGCGAAACGAACGCTTGTTTCATCCGCTCGAAATCCGAAGCGCTGCTGACCGATTCTCAGGTGTCGGCGAGCGACGTGTCGAAACGCCGACTTACTTTTCGCGTTTTGTGAAACAATGTGCGCCGCGCATGTTTTTGTTTTTTTTTTTTTTTTTTACACGCGAGTTTCATGTTTATTGTATTCGGGAACGGCGCGCCGCCGTCGCCATCGCCGACACGCGTGTTTCGTGTTTTTTCCCACTTTGCTTTCAAGCATCGCGCGCTGAAACCGTGAAACCCCGAAACCCTTTTAATTCCGCTCGCATCCTCCCAACCTTCTCTCGTGTATTATCAGCTTGCGGCGCGCGCGGGAGGAAAAAAGACCGACATCCCGGTGGTGGCGCGCGGTGGAGCGAACCAGGCGAGAATACGTGCAAATGGGAATTGGTTGCAAAGGAATATTTACTGCCGGCAGCGCGGTGGTTGGATAAGGGGTCGTAACTTATGCCGCGGAATGAGAAGGAACGTAAAGAGGAATGCACTGACTCTCAGCGCACTGACTCCGGGTCTAGCTACGCGCGAGAGTTGCGACGCGACGACGACGACGACGACGACGACGACGACGACGACGACGGGGAGAATCGCAAGAAGAGAAAGGGAGAGAAAGAGAATTACACATATATATAATCCGCGTGAGTGTGCGTCTGTGTTATGTACCGGTGGTTAAGAGGGATGAAGTACCTGAAAGACGCATCATATATACCGGACACATTGATCGATGAACCTGTGGTCCATCGCCGTGGCCCGCGATAGAAGAGCTTAAGGGACGAAGATAAATTAATACTGTGGAATTTTCGGGGGGGAAAGAAGGAAACGGACTCTTCCTTCTGCTCTCGAGGTTAATACGTACTTCCGACTTCTTTCACCCGGAGCTTTCCAATTGCGGCTCAGACCGCACGGAAAAAAAAAAAAAAAAAATTAGCTGGCAAGAAATTAGTTGCCATAGCGCAATGTTGTTGGCGCAACAAAAAAAAACGTTGTTTTGTTGGCGTTGAAACAAAAATCTCAATAGGTTGACAAATTGTTTTTTTTTTTTTTGCTGGCCATATAGTAATAACGAAATTTTTCCGTTCGCGAATATCGTCCTTCAACTTCGAACGAACTTCATCCAAAGGGCGCGTTTTTGAAGTGCCGTAGATCTGCCGTTTCGGTCGAAACGCGTAGAAAAAAAAAAAAAAAAAAAGGACGCGAAAAGCGACAAAAGTGTTTATACAAATATTTGCTTTTTTTTTTTTTACGTTCGCAAAAAGTCTCCGGTTTGCAATCGGAGAAAAAAGTGAATAATAACATTGCGCGAGCGGACGCGCATCTACCGAAGTGAGAAATAAATTACGGCGCACTACAAAAGTGTCGAAGAGAAATTACAAGGTTCTTGGCATTTCGCCATTCCCATCGAGAGCAATAACAACCGAGAGCAACCGAGTTGTTTTACCGGAAGCAAGTTGCCCGGCGCTTGCATTTCTGTCGGTAATTCGTAGAATGCTTGGCATAATTAGAAGGCGGCGGCGAAGCATTTCTCGAAGAGAGAGCCTAGCACGGTACAAACCACCTCGTCTTCCTCGCGACCATAATGTCCCGGCTCTTCTCTCTTCTGGTTCGTCCTCGGGTTCGTTTATCGAGGGAACTTTTGCTTCCATTAGCCCATAATTAACTGAGTCAAGTGGCTGAAGTCGACGACGACGTCTCTCTACCTCAGCGGTAGCAGCTTCTTCTCGTACTTCTCAGGAATCGACAAATCGCGTCTCTCATCCGATGACTGCGCGGACGTCGAGGAGAAAGAAAGAAAGAAAAAAAAAAAAGAGGGAAAGGAGTCCCAGAACGTGAGGTCGGTATTGGGCAGTACGGGAGTGGAATTCGTAGGGGGAATCTTTCGTCGAATTCGTTAATCCCGTTGCGTCCGGTCGTTCTTTGTAGGGGAATTAGATTTTCCGCTCTTACAGGAATCCAAGGACTCGTACCGTACACACGCCCGGCGGTGTGCGCGCCTCCCGGCCCGTCCCCGTAATTCAATCAGCAATCCGCCCCGAGGTCGGTCGACCAACGACGACGACGTCGTCCTCTTTTATGTGACGTATCAGATATATCGCGACGTTGCTTTTGAGTAGATAAATAAATGAAAGCGCGAGACAGCTCAAAGAGCGTATACCGGATGCGCGCCATAGTCGCGGTATATATCCGCGAGGTAAAGAGAGAGTCGAGTGTATCTACGGACAGAATGATAGACGTAATTACATATTATCGACGTTAACAGACTGACCGCGATCGCGTCAGTCGTCGGCTTTCATTTGCGCCGCAAAGTGTGGGAAGGACGGCGGATAATCATTTAATTAATGGTCAGCCAACGGCTTTAATAAAATGCGTCATAAATGGACGACACTATAATCGCGCGCGCGCGCCGATTGAACTCGTTGATCGCAAACGATCTCGTCGTCCGTCTCTTATTTACGTTATCTGTGACACGTTTAAGCGAAAAACGGACATATTATAATGCGTGCACAAACGTTATTATAATAACGACAACGAGAGAGACGCGTTTATATTTCGCGGGGGTGACAATAATTACGTAAAATGTGACTTTATACTCGTGTAAACTGCAGTTTTACGGAAACTTCCGGGTCTCTGAGCGAAATATATGAACAAACTTCATATAGTAAATATTATCCAGTCGCACGTGAGAGACAGAGCAGCCAGACGCACGTCCGCCGATTCGGAATCCTCTGCTCGTGCATGAACGCCGAGACAAGTATGTAGCTGCCAGGGAACGAGCCGTCCATTTGCATTTCAATGCCCTTCGTCGGTCCGAGCGATGCTACGTTTCCCTATCTCGCCGCCGGTTGTAAGCGCGTCGGGAGGGGGTTGAATCGCTCATTTAAGACAAGTCTCTCTTTCTCTTCTCGACTTCGCCCCCGCCGTAATATTCTTCCCCCCGTGCAAAACTTAGCATGCACATGCGGAAGTCGCGAAAGTTAGCCGCTGTGTTGTTAATCCCTAAGATGTCAGGACGATTACGAGGATTCCGTTATAATGTCAAGAGGAATTATCCGTCCGGGCAGTTGCGACGGAAATGATAGCGAGAGACGCGCCGCTCGAGAAAAAAAGTCTCGCTTAAAGAGGAGCGTAGGCAACTTTTAAAATCCCCCCTTTCTCTCTCTCTCTCTCTCTCTCTCTCTCTCTCTCTTTGTGATGTATTAA